GTTGTGGGACAAGAATAACATCACACTGTTAAGATGCAAGGAACAAGACTGGTGCACCAAAAGGTCTTGTTTGAAGGGCACAGTACACAGGAAATAGACCTCAGCAGGCAAGCAAAAACAGGAGCTACGTTCAGCTAACATGCACCTGTACAACACTTTTCCCCCCCTCCTCCCAAATACTTATAAAGCACAGGTACTTCCAGAATTATCTCTGTGTTTTCTTATTAAGACTCATCTAAAAATATTGTATATTCAAGTCTCCTGAAATATATACAAAGTCCTCTGACATTTAAGGTTTCTTCTTCAGGTCAATTAGATGCTCTGGAAGCCTTTACCAGACCTGGAACAAAGGTACTCATAAATGCTGGATAGAAGATGATTTGGACCTGTAGCTCAGCTACTTGGTACTTCAGCCTCCTCCCTTTAGTGCCCTTTCTGGTGCTGCTGTATTGGTGTCAAGGCTGTATCCCATCTGGTGTTGTCTCCAAAGATGTCTTGTAGAAAAGAAGCTTCTCAAGTGCCCTGGTTTAGAACTATATGCAATTATTTTCATGTAGACTAGAAAGGCCTCTGTTTTATAAGCTGGCTAGTCACATAGGTGCACTCATAGGTTGTTTAACATTCGTCCTGTGTCAGTAGGAAGAGACTGGGAAAGTGAGCATAAGCTATGGAGGAGCAGGACAGATGTCTGTGCAGGACAGATTGGAGTACTGGGAAATGTGGGATGGACATAAGAAAACAAACTCCTTCTGTAACTGGCCTGGGTTTAGTGCCTAACTGGAAAGGATTTACAACTACCAATTCTGCATTTGCTGGCCTGACAGCCAGTTGAGCTGTGGTATAACTACTCTCCAAAGGACATCCCTCCTACCTAGCTAGTTCTGTAGGCATATTGGTTCCCAAAGAGTACCTTATTCTGATATCTTAACTCTGATCTTAAATTTGTGGCTAGAGATGTGGCCAAAGGACAAAAATTCCATCTGGTCAGTGTGTCACCTCTGCTTAAATGTTTTGGAAGTGTGGGACCCTCCGTTAAACTCCACTGCACAAAATCCACTATTTACAGTCTAAAACTCAGTCCAACCTTTTACTGGTCTGTTTAGTCTGAGTATTCACTTTTAAATGACAGTTGCTGCTCAAGATTTTGACTCAGGAAGGCAGTGTCAGCTTCTGACTTTGTTTAGTTTTTCCTCATACAGTCTTTATGTATTGCCTTCTAGACGGAAGTTTTGAACTGGACATATTTCCCTTCTTTCACTCAAGTATTTACAAGATATTTTTATACTAATGTTCCCTTAAACATGGTAGCAAGCTATGACCTAACCCAGCTGACCGGCACCCAAAATGAATCCTTGTTGAGTTTCTCCAACACAGTTTTCAGCTGGTTACATGCACTCTGGAGATCTTCTTTCACCAGTACAGTGTCAATTAAATGGCCATACTGCTCTTCAATGAACGCTGCTGAATTAATAATCTCCTGCTGTTCTTCATCCTGCTGACCAACACAAGACGATGTGATAAAATTTACAGCATATCTTTTTAATTACTAGTAGTTTAAAGTGTATTAGCACAGTAAGTCATTACTTAGAAAATGAAACAAAAGCTGCTACCATTAGGAAAAGGTATCCAAGACACTACATCTTAGATTAAAGAGCGGTATGTTACTGGTAGCTGTATCAAAAAATGCAAAAGGTCTTGGGGGGGGGGGAACATGTTACAGGTGGGACATAAGACACTGACATTGCATTTTATGAAGGTGCTCTCTAACCTAAGACCTGGAAATCATACTCCTCAAAATTTGTAAAGGAATGCTGGATCCACTGTCCCCAAGTTCAATAATTTTGAGGACTTACACAAAAACCAAGTAAGGTATACATTCAAGTTCAGGTTACACAAAGTAATGGCATTGTGTACTCAGTATTTCTGTTCAAATTTACACATCACCAATTTGCAGTTGATCTAGGCTGGGTCCTTGTAAGACATCGACATGCTGCATTTTGTGTGTGCCTAGGTGACACCGGTGTGGGTGCCACTGTGGAGGTATCAGGATTTGTGTGTACCCAATTAACAGCCTGAGTGACACCAGTGTGGGTGTCACTGTGGAGGTATCAGGAGTAGGTGGCTACCATTATCATTTGATCTGCTCACCAGAAATGTGAAATGATTATCAGTTTATCTGAATTCAGAAGCAACTTCTCCTGCTGCAGCCTTGATATACACAGATCCATGTGGAAGACTAACACCTGGCTTCACATTATTTAAAACTTGAGTATATAAAGGAGTCAAAAATCCCATTCTGAAGTTCCAGCTGAAATGCTGTATTTGCACAGGGCCTACTTAGTACCCCACTCTGACTTTTGCTGTCATGGAAAAGGAGCTCTTTCATATTACAGAAATGCTAGCCCAAATACTTCTTCATGTCTAAAAAGAAGAAATTAAAAGTTAAGAGTACTTACAAAGGGGGCTGAGATCTCTTCTGACACAGGAGATTTTAGGACATGTTTTTTCTTGTCTGAAATGAGAGGCTTCACAAAGATAACATAAGGCTTAAACTCAGGAGTCCTCAAGTGCTTTACTGCCTGTGAACAGATGTTTTTGTTATCAGACTTGTTTTGTTACATGTCAGTGATCTACTCAAACTGGTTGCAATAGTTTTACTAGTACACACTGACACTGTGGTGTAAAGCCTTGTGAACTGTACATCTGACTACAGATGTACAGTACCTTTATTTCTTTTGCTCTCAAAAGAAAGCTTCATGTCAGTGTTCTGGCTAGCAATCAAGAGTAATATGGAACGTGACCTTAACAGCCCACCTGCCTTGCCATGCATTGCGATACCAAGGAACTGAGGAAAGTATAAATAAAATAAAATAAATTTGCTTCATGGGCAAGTTATGGTTTGCTTCACTTAGGAGGCCAAACACTGGAAATTTTAAATGTGGAATTCAGCTGAGGTAGTATTATGAGTTTTTTCCTAGCCCAGTTACAAAACCTGAATCAAAATGTCAAAGATTATCTCACAGCATAAAGGAATTAAGAACAGGTATAGTGGCACTGATTCATAGTTTGTTTCAGAGGCAACAGAATCTAGAATGAAAACCCCAGCTCTGCTCTAGGACTTGAACAGGCTAGGGCAGTGATGCACATTACTCCTACAGCAACAGAAAAATTCCACAGTGAGAACCACTAAGGTGACACCTAGGCTGTATCAACTAGACATCTAGGAACTGTAACCAAGAGCTCTACTCTGCTTAGCTAGTGGTCAGACCACTTCTCAGAAATGCAGGTTTTTAAAGCATCGTTGTTGCTTGCAGGGCAAGTAGCCACAAATGGTCAACAAGATCAGTTACTTAGGCTGGTAACATAGTGAGCAAGGTTTGCATTTTTCAAAATAGGCTGCAGAACTTACTTCAGGTACCACATCCACCAAACAGACCTTCTTTTTGGCCATCACAGACCGGATTGCCTCCAGACTTGTACCATACAGGTTTTCTTTGTATTCTCCATGTTCCACAAATCTAAAAAGTCAATATATTTTTATACACTGGCTACAAAGAATATTTAACTTAGAACATCTGATAGCTGTTTCATGAAGTCACAGTAGTCAAACAGGGAGGAGAAAGGCACAAAATCGGTGTGTGTGGGGGGAAGAGGATCTTTTTCCCCCCTTGTCGTTGCTTAGTAGCAATGGTTTTCTCCACGTGTCACTAACAGCCAATCAGCATTACTAACAAATACAGGAAAAAGAAGGCGGCATGTTTTTTCACAGAAAATGTAACAAAGCTGTCAAGGAAATGGACTCTAATTCTTTCATCTTCTGGGAGACTAGTCAAAAATCAGTACTTTGAAGAAACACGCTTGATCTTGCAGAAAGTCCTTTACAGCCACAGATTCAGTCTACCACATACTTTAAAGTGGACTTGGGTGTTTAAAGTGGACTTGGACTTGTTTAAAGTGGACTTGGACATGGGCTTTAAAGTGGACTTGGACTTGTTACCCGTCGTATTACATCGAGACTAAGCAGGCCCAACTAAGTATCTGTGACTTTCATTTGATTCAGTTGTGACCAATCACAATATTTATGACATGCAAGTTTAAATTCTGACTGTGGATCCACTAGTCTTGTGTTACTCCTAAAGTGTTTCTTATGAGACTTTTGAGTTTGCACTAACAGTCCAGAGTGAATCAAGAGCTTTTTTCCTTGGAAAGCTGAACCCTTCTAATGCAACTAGTCCAACTTCACAGCTGACTTGGGTATTCATATAAGATTGGACCAGGAATATTTTTCGATAGTCAATTATACCAGTATTTCAGAATTAACTCACTTGTTTTGCTGTACATCTGTCTCAAATGATTGCTTAGAGACAAAATTGTATTCAACTCCCTCTTTCTCATGACTTTTTCTTGACCTGGTTGTATCTAGAAGAGAATGGAAGACATATCAGACTTTGAAAACATTTTCTCTGTTTAGTTCCAGTCACATTTTTCATGACCTCAAACAAGGTAGTTACACACTGGCAAATTTAACATAAAATATAAAACAAACCTTATAACTTTGTTTTAAACTCCATCTCAAATATTTTATGACCAAAAATGAAGTTGTTTTCTGCAGCAGAAGAATCTACCCTATGGAAAAACTAACTGTGTGGAATACTGAACTCTCATTTTCTTTGAAGCTCCTATTCTGTTGCCTCTAAATTTACAGCAAGAATATCGCTGGCTGTTTTTCCAAGCTCCTGTGAAGCTTACATCATTATGTGTGCCCTGATCTGTTTTCATAATTGCTATTCCTGTAGGATAAACTTTGATGATCATTCTACAATCTATGCCTGGCCATAAAAGTAATGCTGCTATTTTTTTGTCTATGTGTTTAAATTCAAGTAGAAATTACTCATATGAGTTCTACTGGTCTACAATTGAGTATCTGCCTGACAGACTTGTTTTTTGAAATCTTAAATGACATATGCACAGTGCCCTCAATGTTAACTGGATGGCAAAAGTAGCTTGTCGGGGAATATAAATAATCGACGGATTTTTGTATGTCTTGTATTGTTTAGAAAACAATCCAGCAAAAGAAATTTAGTGTAACTCTATCCACAAAGCCATGAAGAATCACTAATTTCTCTATTAATCTGACTCGCTGGTTTGAACAGCCCTGATACACTAATCAACAATTTAAAATCTTGTCAAAACTCTGACTTGCCTTTTTTCTTTTTTAACTTTAGCTGTTATGATATTCTCAAGAAAAATTATCCTCTTTTAAACACACAATGTTTTGGCAGAATATTAAGATACTAGTTTTTCACACTACCTCTTTTTGTGATTTACAATCTCTTTTTTCTTCCTGGATTCAGCTTGTCATTCTTTCAACAGACACTGAGAAAATGCCATCTGATCACTTAGGAAAACACACTTTAAAAACATCCACTAAGTTGACAGAATTTCAAAACACACACGTGCCAAGTTATCTAGTGATTTATTCATCTAGTAAGGGCAAACATAGTATATCACAATGAGAAAAATAATTTGAAGCCAGCAGTGTGCTCAGGTGGCCAAGAAGGCCAATGGCTTCCTGGCCTGGATCAAGAACAGTGTGGTTAGCAGGACCAGGGAAGTGATACTGCCCCTGTACTCTGCACTGGTGAGGCCACACCTTGAGTCCTGTGCTCAGTTCTGGGCCCCTCAGTTCAGGAGGCATATTGAGGTGCTGGAGCAGGTCCAGAGCAGAGCAATGAGGCTGGTGAAGGGACTCGAGCACAAGTGCTATGAGAAGAGGCTAAGGGAGTTAGGATTGTTTGCCTGGAGAAGAGGAGGCTCAGGGGAGACCTTATCACCCTCTACAACTCCCTGACAGGAGGTTGGAGTCAGGTGGGGGTTGGTCTCTTCTCCCAAGCAACCAGCAGCAGGACAAGAGGGTACAGACTCAAGCTCTGCCAGGGGAGGTTTAGGTTGGCTATTAGGAAGAGATTTTTTGTGGAGAGAGTGATGAGGCATTGGAATGGGCTGCCCAGGGAGGTGGTGGATTCACTAACCCTGGAGGTTTTCAAGATAAGACTAGATATGGCACTTAGTGCCATGGTCTAGTATCCACAGTAGGGTTGGATTGATGATCCTGGAGGTCTTTTCCAACACAGTCGATTCTATGATACTTCTGAAACACGCTTACAATCAACAGTCAGAACACTGCGGCTAGCACTACATTTGTTAGACAGCATTTATGGAATCATGTGGCAACACGAAGCCAGTAAACTTTACTCACGTGGAACGGCAACACCATACTCCTGTGGGTTCTCTGACACAACCTTCTGCTTGAGCTCACTTAATCTGGCCCCCAAACAACCTAATAAAATAAAACTGACTGACAGATTTCTGTGTGAAATGAAATTGCAGAGAATAACTAGTACCAATTTCACCAAATAATATTCAGGACTGCTTGAAGAATCCTGTATATGAGAGACCTCATGACCTGCTCCGTCACACTCTGCTTTGAGGAACATCATCGAGAACAAACCAAATTCCTTGAACAGCTGTTGGACAAGCACTTGCCAGACACTAAGTCAGAAAATCTGTAATCTTAGCAGTCTATGAGATAGCCTTGATTTCTAGGACACCCTGGGAAACTGGCTTAGCACAAAGCCAGTAAGCCTACTGAACTAAAATTGCATGAAAATTTTGTTAGTTCTAACATCTCCATCAATTGTTCCAACAACCTCAGTATATGCACTTAAGCGAGAACTAATGGAAACTGACTCAGAAAAATGAGAAATAGTTCTGCATCATCATTTTTAGAAGGATTTGGTGAGTTTGGTTGCTATTTCTTTTAGTTTTGTTTTGTTTAAAATTTGTTTGTTTTTAACGTAATTTAATATAAAAGAGCAACTTCTGATGAAACCAGAAAAACCTTCTAAAAAAACCACCAGATCCACAAAACCCCAAGCCAAACACCTAAAGAAAGCCTCTCGCAGTGCAGGTGATAAGGGAGAAAGGTGAAGAATTGTGTATCAGTTGTGTATCTTACCAATCAAGACCACAAGCCTCTGCTGTTCACCAGGCTGCTGCTGGTACTTGGTGACTTCTTCGTATGTTAGGAACTCTGTGGCATCTGCCTGTTCCGCTTGCTTTCCTTCATTCAGGTTGTTCTCCTTCTCTTTACGACTTAACCTAAAGCTCCTGCGTAAGCCAGCTGTGCAGAAAAACAAGATAGATTAAAACAAGTATCCACTCACCCAGATTTTCCAGCTTGCTCAGATAGGAGTTATTGTCTTTGAGTAAGAGTGACTAATACCAATTTTTTGTAGAATCAAATCAGTGCATATATGCTAGTATTATAAATGAAGTTTGCATATGAGGTAGAAAACCAAGCACCCAGTCTCTAATAAAAACCCCTCTATGACCTTGAGTTGCCAATTATTGGGTATGCCAAAGTCTTTTTATGTCTCTTGACTGAGATAATCCTTTTTATGAATGTATGAGAAATTAACTCTAATGCAAATAGGGTAGGTTTGTGTTTGGCTTGGGTTTTTTTTTTTGATGTGGAGGTGGTTTTTCTTGGGTGGGTTTATTTGGTAGTTTTGGGGTTTTTTTGAGGGGGGAGGTTGTTAGGGAAGAGGAAAGAGGTTTTGGTTTCTCACCTATGTACTGTCCATTGAAATATCCTTCACAGTCACAGTCTTCTGTAAATTCAAAAGCAGGGAGAAGGGAGTGTAGGGCACAGGGAAAGGAGAGCAAGAGAGAGGAGGGAAATATCTTAAATGATTCATGTGATATGAGTCTGGTTCAGGTCTGAGGAAGAAATTTTCTATCCTGCATAATATGAACATGCTTTTATAACACAAAGACTAGTGATATGAAAAAATATTTGCCTTGGCTAGTGGGTTATATTAAAAAAAAAACCCCTGATTTTAATATCGCACTAGAGAGTTTTACATCTTGATATTTACAGTTTCCAGAATTTAGCATTCATTACATTTGATCAGTGCTCCTGCTAAAAAGCACAATATTCAGACTTAGGATAAAAGAAGACTCCACAAACACAAAGCTCTTTTTTTTTAATGAATGGTTTTATAAATGAGTACCACTGTGTCAGAATATTGCCTCTTCTGATATGCCGATGTCATCTGGGCTTGAAAAAGGCACTCAGAGATGACTGAAAGATGAACTCTAACCCTTTTA